GAGCGGCGTAGATTTAGGTGTTGAAATGAGGGTTTTAAAATTTTTGGGGTCATTTCAAATTTTGTGTGTTTTTAATATAACTTATTTTTTTTACTTTTAAATAAAATTTTTAAAATTACTGGAATGTGACATGTCACTTAACAGTAGATTTTAACAGTAGTTACAGCCCATGCACCTAAAGTGGTAGCGTTTGTAACATAAAAAACCTGAATGATTTAAAAAAAATTGGAAACCTGTTTAAAAATATATATAATTTAAGCAATTGTTTTATAACTAAAGCTTAAAAAAGCCATTTATTGAATTAAGTAGAATTTAAGGTAAGCTATATAAATAGTGAGTAAAGTATGAATAAGTTTATTATTCAAATATTGAAGTTTTAAAAGTGATGAAAATGTTATTAATATTATCGTTTTATAATAAATTAATCACTCGATCGCTAATAACTATTACCCTATCGACAGAAGGTTAATATGACATATTAAATCGATTTACTTGACAGAGTTTGATGGGACAAGCGTTGACCGATAGTTGACGCTTCCCATAAAAGCCTAAACTAATCCAACTCAGGCAAAAACCAATAAATCTCTTATGGCTTAAACGTCAAAAAAGTGCCTAACGTATGCCTTTTTTTTTTAGTTTGGGGTCTAACATTTTTTCGTTCTAGTTTAGTGACTAACGTTTAATTTCGTAACTCAGTTTGGGTCAGGTCGTGATAGATCATTAAGTTTGATTGTTAAGTGACACGTGTCATAACTTAGTAATTTTAAAAATTTTATTTAAAATTAAAAAATTAAAATTATATATATATATATATATATATATATATTAAAAAGAAAACACAAATTTTGAAATAAACTCAAAACTTTGAAAACCTTCATTTCAATCACTAAACCTATGTCGACCACCGCCTTTTGCTGTCAACAAAGGTCCACCCGACCTCCCCTCCCCCGGCGACCTAAACCCCTATGAAATTGTGACTGATCAACCATCGAAATTGTGTAGGATTGCGATTTTTCATCCTAGGGTTTGTGGGTTATAAAATGTTGATTCATCATCGATCAAATGTCAATCAATCTCAATTTCATGGGGGGTTTGGTCGCCGAGGGGAGGGGAGGTCAGGTCTTCGTCGATGGTAAAAGGTGGTGGTCAATGTTGTTTTAGAGGTTGAAATGAAGGTTTCCAAAGTTTTGGGTTTATTTCAAAATTTGTGTTTTCTTTTATATATATATATATATATACTTTTAATTTTTAATTATAAAATTTTTAAAATTACCATGTTGTGACATGTGTCGCTTAACGGTCCGTCAAGGCCTGACCCAAACTGAGTTACGAAATGAAACGTTAGACACCAAACTGGAACGAAAAAACGTTAGACACTAAACTGAAAAAAAAACATACGTTGGACACCTTTTTAACTTTTAAGTAATCTTTTATTAACCCTCTCCTCTTTTCAGGCATTTATAAGCATGAATTTATTGGAGGTAGTTTGAAAGTAGGCAATGGATCCCTTGGAAGAACAAACGATCATATTTTAGGTGTACCAAAACAAATTTTCAATAGAAAATAAAAACAAAATCTAAAATATATAGAAATTTGAAACTTTTAGTAAACTATGCATTTAGTACCTAAACTATCAGTTTTGATCTATTTTAGTACCTAAACTTTAAAAAAAATTCAAAATCATACCTAAAGTTTAGTTTTTATTTCATTTTGGTATCCGCCATTAAAAATTTAATGTGCTTAGTACCTAAAGTATCATTTTTGGTTTGTTTTAGTACTCGTGCTTTCATTTTTTTCTAAATCATACGTCAAGTTTAGTTTTTGTTTCATTTTAATTCTTGTCGTGAAAAACTTAACGCATTTAATACATAAGCTATCAATTTTATTATGTTTTAATACCTAAACTTTCAATGTTTTCAAAACTTAACGTTAAATTTTGAACGGGTTACTAAAATGAAACAAAAACTAAAGTTTTTAACTGTAGGGTACTAAAATAAAACAAAAACTAAACTTTAGGTATGATTTTGAAGAGATTGAAAGTTTAGGTACTAAAACGAACCGAAACTGATCATTTAAGTACTAAATGCATAATTTATCCAAATTTTTATGGGGCGACCTCCCCACTCGCCTTGCCTAGGTTCATCCCTGTATGCAAGAATAGGATCGTAAAAAGTGGATCCGGCCTATAAAACTGATTAAAACCAACTCGAGTCAAAACTGTTTGTGACCTGAGCGGTATTGATCCGAAACTGACTCGAGTCCGAACTGGTGTTTACCTGAACCCGAGTTGGACCTGGAAATTGTAGATATGAACCCGACCTACACCCGATTTGAGAATGACATGAACCTAAATTGAACTGATAATATGATAACTGAACTCGACATGCATCTAACTGAAATGAACTTGAACCCGAGAATAACCTGGTAAATAACTGGTATTCCTCTACCTGTTAGCAACCTGGCCTGCTATGAACTTGACCTGTAATTAACTCAATCTGTAAATGATCCGACTTGTTATTAAACTGGTGTGATATTTACCTAACTTATAAGTTACAATTGATGAAGTTGTGAGATCTTGAATTTATAATAAACTATGATAATTAATATGATCACATTTTAAAAAGATAAAACAAATTGTTAGTTATGATAATTTAAATTAATAATTTACTTTCTATATTCATTATAATCCTTATATTATATATCTTAATAATAATAAATTATTTAATTTCAATAAATAATTTATTTATTGAATATTATTTTATTAGATTATATAAAATTAATAAATATTTATAAGTTAATTTAATTTTATGTAATAATTAATTAATAATTTAAATATAATTTAACTTAAATTTTAATATATATATATATATAAGATTAATTTATTTGAGATTGAAAATTTTAAAATAAATATTTTTTTAAAGGGAAAATTGATTAAAAGAAAAAAAATTAGAGGGAAAATTATTTTTTTGGGAATTTAGAAGTGGTAATTCGTGGTATTGGTTTTAGTGTCCAATAAAATGTTTTCGGTTTATTAGGCCTGCTCTCCTCCAACAATTAATGATTTTCTATTTTGTTATTTGGTTTTTGACTTCTCACTTCAATCATGGTTTAATTGTAAATTTATTATTGAATTTTCAATTCAATGCAATTTAGTCATGTATACATTCTAACTATAGTCATTAAATGTGAATCTTAATTTTAAAATATTTTATTTTAGTCACTTATTTTTAATGAGATATATATATATATTGTCATGTATACATTCTAACTATGTATTTTGTAATACAAATAGGCTTCTATTAATAAAATGTACTTGTATTTATTTCAATATATACATATGCTTTTATATATATATATATAAAAGCATATGTATATATTGAAATAAATACAAGTACATTTTATTAATAGAAGCCTATTTGTATTACAAAATACATAGTTAGAATGTTGTATAATTTATTTAAATTATAGTTTGTAATTCTTATTTAATCAATTTAGTCCTTAAACTTATATTATAAAATCCAAAACCTTATAAACTTTTGTTACTCAACTTTTGAAATGAATGCAATTCGGTCCATTTTTATATTAATTTCAGCTTCACGTGTTACAATTAGTTCGATTTGATCCATGTATGTTGTTTAATTTATTTAAATCTTAACTTATAATTTCATATTTGTTCAATTTAGTCCTTAAAATTATATTTTTTATATGAAATTGGCCCATACTTATTTATATTTTTATATCTTACTTCAAACCCAATAAATCAAATAATAAACTTCATTTCAAACTCTATAAATTATATCATAATCTCCAAACCCTTTAAACTTTTCACCATCTTTTTAAATGTATTCAATTTTGTCCATTTTTATATTAATTTCAACTTAAAATTTTATAATTACTTCGATTTGATCTCTCATCCTCGTGTTTTGTTTAATTTATTTAAATTATTATTTGTAATTTTATGTTTATTCAATTTAGTCCTTAAAATTATATTTTTATTAAAATTAACCTATAATTATTTATATTTTTTGTAATTTACTCCAAATCATATACAATTACAATTTTTCGTTCATGAAATATAAAAAATAATTAACCCAAAAATGACCCGACCTGAACTCAATCCATATCCAGAAAGATCCGACATGAATTTTGTCTGTCAATGATGTGACCTGATCTGAACGAGATCCGACTGAAGTTCATCCGAACCAGAATTAAAAGTATTTAACTACTTCCGACTCAAACCGTTTGACCTGAACTGACATCAATCCGAACTAAAATCAACCTGATCCAAAGCCGAACTGAATCCGATGTCAAATCAACCTGAAAATGACCCGAACTAATTTGAGTAGGACACGATCTGATCCGAGTTGAACCATCCAATTGACCTGACACGATCTGTATCCGATTTGATTTGACATGATAGGATCCGACTGAAACTTGAACGATTACCTAATTTCATATCCTATGCAAGAATGGTGGTTCAGTTGGAGTGAAGAGCTGGTCCGAAAGTAGGCAACTGGAGGAGTTGATGTGAATTTTTCGGTAACCGGAGATATATTCATGGTCTTTTTGAAGTGTCACTTTTTTCTGTGAGGCCTTTACCTGTAAACTGTCTTTCCAGATATAGCAATGTACTTCATAATCAAGGGTGAACAAGAAAAATCCTCAGTCAAACTGAACCATTTTAATTTAATAAAGCAAAGAGCTCAACTTTCCTCGTGCAGACGTATTCCATTTATCTCTTCGATTACGTATACATAAATCTTTAGAGAAAAAGAGGCAATAAAGCAAACCAAAAGAAGCCATGAAAATGAAGCAATTATTACAAGTTAATGGAAGCAAAAGAATTTGGTTCGTTTTCCGTAAAGCAAAACCCACTAACATTTGCATACCTCATGACCTTATCTCTTCTTTGTCACAAAGTTTAATCAACCTCCTTAGCCACCAAGAAAACCCTAAACCCTAGAAACCAGACACTATAAGAGAATTTCGATCGAGAGAGGGGAGGTGGGGGAGAAATAGAGAAATGAATGCGGATTGGGGACCGGTGGTGGTCGCGGTGGCATTGTTCATCGTGCTGTCGCCGGGGATGATGTTCCAGTTGCCGTCGAGGATAAGGGTGGTGGAGTTCGGGAACATGTGCACGAGTGGGATAGCCATCTTGGTTCATGCAGTCATTTATTTCTGCATATACACCATCTTGATCATGGCCATCGGTGTTCACATACATGTTAACTAATCCCTACAAATGGTAGGCCTCTTAATTATGCCATTCACTGTTGTTTTACTTTTCATGGCTGTTTGTCATTGTAAGAGAAACGTTCAACTGTGTAAAAATGAAGATTATGTTGAAATAGTGATTATAATGGTGGTGTCAGGGAAACTCGGTTAAATGCAAATAATTTGTTTAGTTGATACGAACGAGGTTGGTTAAGTGGTAAGCAACTTAATATCGTTAAGTTTGAAATATGTTTCGAGTTTGAGTACTTGTGTATGAAGAAAATCCTCTTTGGAAGACTCATCCACCAAAGCTATGTGTGCGACACGGGTCGGTCCGGATTGTAAGAGAAAATCCTCATTGGAAGACTCATCCATCTCTCATTATACGTATATATTAACCACATACTTTTTCAATAAAATCATTAAACCAAGTTATATTATCATATTTTTGAAAATAAATAAAATTTAGGTTAACAATGGTTGAAATTGATTATATATTTGGCTAAATTTGAGGATGAAATTAGAAGATTCAAAAGTTTGGGGACCAATTTAGAATAAGACATAGTTTGGGAATGAAGTTTAAATGTTCAAAAGTTTGAGGATTAATTTAGAATAAGAGTCGTAATTTAGGGATGAAATTGAAATGTTTGAAGTTTAAAGATCAAATTAAAATCAATATCATAGTTTGAGGACATATCATATTATTTACCTCAAACAATTTATATTTGTTTATGTTGTCCTCCAGTTTCAACGCTTTTTCCTGATTAATCTGGATCGATCTGGGTTTATACACTCATAAACTGTCAATATATTAAATAGATGTAATTTTAAACTTAAAATAATAAATTTATTGATTTATTTAAGATTAAAATTAAAATTAAATTAATAGAATATGTAAATAATAAAGACTAAACATATTATTATATAATTTAAAAATTAATACGTCAGTTATTTTGCTAATCAGTTATCAACTGACAATTTGATTAATACCAAAACAAAACGCTAATGACTTAATTAATTAATAAAAAATTATTCAATAATCTGAATAAAATCAACTATATAATTTAATGAATAAATAAACAAATTTTGTTTTTATCATAAGAAATTGGGTAAAATGTAACATCAAGAGGACGGGCAGCTTACTCAACTAGGTATGAATTTTCTATTCAATATGAAAAAGTAGGTAAATGGAAAAATATTTAGAGTAAACTACGCGTTTAGTACTTAAACTATCAGTTTTAGCCCGTTTTAATACTTAAACTTTCAATTTTTTCAAAACTACAACTAAAGTTTAGCTTTTATTTTGTTTTAATAACTCGCCGTTAAAAATTTTAGTTTTTTATTTCATTTTAGTACCCTTGTTAAAAATTCAACGCTAAGTTTTTTAAAATGAAAGTTTGGACACTAATACGGACCAAAATTGATAGCTTAAGTCATAAACGCATTAAGTTTTTAATGGCATGATATTGAAATGAAAATGAAAACTAAACGTTCGTCGTGGTTCTGAAAAAAATGAAAGTTTAAATACTAAAATATACCAAAACTGATAGCTTAGGTACTAAATGCATAGTTTACCCAAATATCAAAACTGATAGCTTAAGTTTTTAATGGCGGGATATTGAAATGAAAATGAAAACTAAACATTAGGTATGGTTCTGAAAAAATTGAAAGTTTAGATACTGAAATATACCAAAACTTATAGTTTAGGTACTAAATGCATAGTTTACCCTAATATTTATACTATTAAGCTTGTGGTGTAGTATAGTTGTAGAAAATCTTATATTACTCTAAGATGGTAAGGGTAGAGTTTTTTATAATTCAGATTTTCAATTAATATAATTTTAATAAAAATTTAAATATATTTTTATATAATATTTAAAATGTTTAAATTGCATGGTAAAAAAATTATAATAAGCATGAATTTCATTCTTGAATGAATATTTTTTAATTTTTTATTTAAAAATTAGATAAAAATATAAAAATATAATTATTATTTAAGAAACAAGCCATTTCAATAAATTTGGTATTGAATTGTCACTCAATTAATTGGTGACTTGAACTTGTCAATGATCATAATATAGATTTCATGGGCTAATTGCAAAAGAATCAAAATTAGGGGCTAGGGATTTTCATGTGATAGCTTCTCTAGCAATGGCTACCTCTCAACATGTACCTAACCATGAGGTAGGTGAGAGTAGAGATGGTCATTGAGTTTTTGATCCACTCGAGCTTAATTTTAAAAAAAATCTCCTATTTAACGCTCGTATAAGTTATTTTTATTAAATAAAATAAAGGTGCAATCGAAAATATATATATATATAAAGGAGTATTATTGTAATTATCTTCAAATATATGAAAGATAATTATAATATTATATCAGATCGAGTCTAAAAAATTTAACCTTAAACTCGGAATCAATCCGCCTCATCCTTAAAAAGACTTGAACTAATCTGAATATATATTAAAATTTTGAAATTAATTGGATCAAGTCAAAAACCGTCAAGCTCATGTTAAATTTCCATCCTTACACCGTCAAGCTCAGTTTCAATATAATTTTAAAATTTTAATTTAATTAATATTATTTTAATCATATATTAATAAAATAAGAATAATAAATGACACATCATACATAAATATTAATAGAATAAATCATGATGATTAAAACAACAGTAATTCAAAAGTTGAGTGATTAAATTGAAAACTTTTAAAGTTTAGTGACCAAAATAGAAGAGAAAAAAATAGGAGGTTTGAGTTATTTTCTTGAGTTGGAGGGCTAGATTGAGTTATTTTCTTCGGTTAGAGAGCCAAATTAAGAGGAAAAAAATAGGATGTTAGTTTGGTTCACGTTCCACGTCAGCACTAATTAACGGAGCCGTTAGTCAAAGACAGAAAACGTTGGTCAAAGGACTAAATTGAGTTTTTTCTAACTTGGAGGGCCACATTGGGTGCAAAAAAAAAGTGGAGGGCCACATTTGTTCCTTTTGAAAAGTACGAGGGACTTAAGTATCCTTTTGCCTAATATTTATTATTGATATCATTCACATATATTCAGTTACTTATGTGATACAATATCGCATCAATAAATATTTTTTATTTAATTATCATCATACTAATAAATATATTGGCTGATTTTTTGCAATAATGCAGTTGGAAAAAAATTGTTCGAATAGTGCATCAATAAATATTTTTTATTTAATTATCGTCATACTAATAAATATATTGGCTGATTTTTATTTAACTAATATCATTGGAATTAACTGACAACAAATATTTTAATTATTTATTTAATCTCCTAAAAATTATTAATTATATATATATATAATTATATTAATTATAACTTAAATATATTCTTATAATATTTTATAATAATAATTTTAATTATTATATATTATAAATATCTGTAATTAATTTAAAAATAATTTAATCTAAATATTATTTTTATCCAAAATATATTATATCTTAATTTAGTATAGTGGTTAAACATTGGACTTACTTTCCAACATACCTTAATTTGAGATTTTTAGAGTTTCAATTAATATTTTCTTCATCTTTTAATCAATAAGATAATTACACGTATTATTTCTAATTAAATGGTATTATTTATATAAAATTATTTTATTATATGATATTAATTAAATAAAATTATTTTATTGAATGATGTTAATTAAATAAAAGAAATTAAACGTTCTCCCGTAAACAATTAATCAAACATTTAATTGAATACTTAGATTTTTAAGAAGAAAAATTTGACATTATATCAAACACTGACCCTCAATTTTTATTTCAAATTTCTTATTTTATTGTTAATTTTAAAATTAAACAATAAATTATTATTTTTTAATATTTTATATTTATTGATTTTAGAATTAAATAAGTTTAAAACTATGTTTTATTTTTTAATTAACAATTAAGCCCTTAACTCTTTTCTAAATAGTTTAGAATGATTATAAAATAAGATAAAATAAAAAAAATGGTTCTCCGACTATAAGTCATTATTTTATTGAGTTCTTCGACTATTAAAATTTATAAAATAGTCTTCTGACTATAAGACGTTGTTTTGTTAAGTCCATCGACTATTAAAAGTTACAAAATTAATCATCCGATTATTCATTATATTTCATACTCGTCTTTTTGTTAAAATATGAAAGCAATCTGAGCTACATGTTAATCTATTCTCTGATATATGATAATCATTTGAGCTTTAGGATTAGATTTTATCATATCTCAGACAAAAATTAACATCCATCTAACGAGAGTAAAAGAATTTAAAATATAATAAATAATTAATTAATCATTTTATAATTTTTAATAATTAAATTACTCAAGAAAGTAATATATAATCAGAGGGTCACTTTGTAGGAACCAAACGTATAAACCTGGCTCGTCTCTAGTTGTCAGCAAACTTTGCCAAAGAGTAGGAACCGCACATTGTCATCGCTGACGACAAAAATACATTATATTCCAGTATAATATTATTTTCCATATGCCCACCATTCTAAAGCTGAGAAGCATCAACCCTGTTTTCACAGAGCTGCAAAATGGGTGGACTGAAAGAAAAGTTTCAGGCTTTTATGAACAACAGATGGCTGGTTTTTGTTGTTGCGATGTGGATACAATCCTTCACTGGACCTGGATTTCTATTTGGTAGCATATCGCCTGTGATCAAAGCTGCTTTGAATTATAATCAAAGGCAGCTTTCCCGGTTGGGTGTGGCCAAAGATCTTGGAGCCTGTGTTGGGTTTTTAGCCGGGAGCTTGTCTGAGATTTTGCCTTTTTGGGGTGTTCTGTTCGTCGGTGCTTTGCACAATCTTGTTGGTTATGGTGGCCTTTGGTTGATTGTTTCTGGGAGAGCTCCAGTTTTGCCTCTGTGGGCTGTGAGTATCATCTCAAAGTTCTTTTTTTTTTCCTATTGATTGCTTTTCCTTTGTTTAATTCTTTGAATCTACAAGATTCTTACCTTTTTTTTTTTTTGAGCATTTGGATTCGTATAGCGTTACTGTAGGGAAGAAGTTATGGTAGATAGTACCAATTCATAGATAGTACCACTTTTTAAGTAAAATTTCAAGCATTTACTGTAAGCTTTCTATTTGTTCTATGTTTCTTAATTTCTTTGTTTTGTTGCTTCTCTTGGCGGTTTTCATAGCCCTGGTAGTGTTCGCTTCCGCATATTGTTCAACTTTAGTGAGTTTCATCACTTGATGAGCTTAAGTCCTCATTACAAGGACATGGTGAAGGCCGACTTAAACATCAATTCAATCGAGAAAGCATCTAAGCTGCACGGATCAGCTAGATGAAACTCTAGCCCAGTGACAAGTTTTTCCTATAGGTTTCAAATTCAAGTAGCTGTAGTTGTAGGGTGTCGACAGGTGTGGGCGAGTGTCTGCGTTCATTGTCATTTAGCTAATAAAATTCTAAATATATATTATCTTTTAATAATCCAGTTTAATTAAAAAAAATAGCATTTTATTCCAATATCTTCAATAAGCAGTCTCGGTATGCAGATGTGCGCCTTGTTATTTGTGGGAGCCAATGGCCAGACCTACTTCAACACGGCTGTTCTGGTTTCCTGTGTGCAAAATTTCCCCAAGAGCAGGGGTCCAGTGGTGGGAATTCTAAAGGGATTTTCTGCTTTGAGTGGTGCAGTTTTGACTCAGATATACACTACCATTAATTTCCGAGATCAATCATCTTTGATACTCATGCTTGCACTTGGACCATCAATGGTGGTTGTTGCTTTTATGTTCATTATCAGATCTGTTGAAGGTCACAAACAAGTGTACCCATCAGATGGTTTGAGTTTTGCAGTTATTTATAGTGTGTGCCTCCTCTTGGCTGCTTACTTGATGGGGATCATGATTCTTGAAGATGTTGGTACCTTGAACCACAGTTTAGTAACAGCTTTTACTGTGATTTTGTTTGTTCTTATTTTCATTCCCATCATGTTAAGTTTTCGCAAAGAGCCTAGTGATCCTGACCAAGAGGTTCTTCTACCTAAGACCGAGCAGCGAGAAGATGGAAACTCTGATCGGAATGCTCGAGAACATGAAGTAGTATGCAGTGAGGTTGCAGATGAAATGCCCGAGGAAGTAGGTGCCAAGAGGACTCGAGGTCCTAGGGCCGGGGAGGACTTTACCTTGATGCAGGCTTTGATCACAGCAGACTTTTGGCTTATCATGTTATCTCTTCTATTGGGTTCAGGATCAGGGTTGACAGTGATAGATAATCTTGGTCAGATGAGCCAATCTTTGGGGTATGATAATGCTCATATATATGTGTCTGTAATTAGCATTTGGAACTTTCTCGGTCGGGTCGGCGGAGGTTCCTTCTCGGAGATCATCGTGAGGTATACAGACTGAAATTATTTGTCCCTGTATGCTGATAGCTCCATGCTTCAATTTCAATACTGATTTTGATTCATTTTCGGCATGACATTACTGTATAGGGATCATGCTTATCCAAGACCGGCAGCCATCGCTGCTGCGCAGCTCGTTATGGCCGTTGGCCATGTCTTCTTTGCCATGGGATGGCCTGGAGCAATGTATATTGGTACTATGTTGATCGGGCTTTGCTACGGTGCTCACTGGGCAATTGTGCCAGCTACTGCCTCTGAGTTATTTGGCTTGAAAAAGTTTGGGGCTCTCTACAATTTCCTCAATCTGGCGAATCCGGCAGGTACACTTATCTTCTCAAGTCTAATTGCCAGCAGTATCTATGACCGAGAAGCCGAGAAACAAGCTCATCAACATCATATGCAGCCACGGATTCCGGGGTCGATTTTATCCGGAATGTTTGGCGTAGATGAACCGCCAAAGTGCGAAGGCTCTATATGCTTCTTTCTGAGTTCCATGATAATGTCAGGATTCTGCATCATTGCAGCTGGTTTAAGCATGATACTTGTGTACCGTACTAAGACTGTTTTTGCTCGTCTTTACGGAAAATCTCACACTTAATGTCAAGGAAGAGATCTTGCACTTGATGTCGAGGACAAGATCGAGTGATATAGGAGGGTTCTTCCACGAATACTGTAAGCCTATTCTAAAACCAGTTCTTTGCTCTGTAACCTGGTTCACTGCTTGTATTAATAATATTTAAAGAACATTTCTTAAGTTCAAAGTGTCAGTTTCATTCCATAAGGTGATTCTATGTAAATGATACCAATGTGATTATGCAGGGGTGTTCAAAATTACACAACCCGATATAATCAATTCGTTGAGCTGATCATGAACACCTCTAATCAATAGTTACTAAACATCATCATCTCAAGAGAGGGAAACTAAAACCAGTTGCCAGGAACAGAGAAAGATGACAAATGAAACTGGACATTAAAATTGCCAAATTGGACACATCAAGTTTGTACACTTTCCTGGCACCAATCTGTAAGTTCTGATTGCAAAACAAAGACAAGGTACAAGATAGATATAGTTTCACAGAGTCGATCAGCAAACAGGATTACCATCGGTAGCATCATCATCGGCGGAAGCGAGCACAAGTTCTGGTCTAAGTAGAATTCCTTCCTTTTTCGCCTTCATCCGTTCGCGGCGCATCCTGAAGTACTCCCTCTTCCTTGCTCTGTAGCTGTTAGGATTCTCAGGCTGAAGGACTCGTGGGTAGACACTAATCTGCAGATCAAATAAAACCCAGAATTCATACAAAGCTTGAGGAATGCTATGATATGACATGAATGGATATGAATTCGAAACCTTCTGCTTGTCAGGTCCAAACTTCTCAAATTTCACAAGCCCATCAATCAATGAAAAGATTGTATGATCCTTTCCAAGCCCCACATTTTTCCCTGAATGAAACTGAAACAAGCAACAAAAAACTTCCCAATGGTTACTCAAATCAAGCTAGGAATGTTGTGATTTATAGATCAAATTATGGTTTCTGTCCCTTTACTATTTTCAACTTGATTCCTTAGCCCAAATCATCAACACCATCAAAAGTGTTCTATTTGTCAACTAGTTTCTTTTTACAGTCTCAGAGATTTTTAGACTAAGACATAACATTCATGATAGTAGGAGAAGCAAATTATGTCAAATTAAAGCCATTGTTTAACCTAATTTGTAAGCTTTTGACTTGTCTTTATGCTCGAACTCGTTTTCTCCTCAAATGAGAGTCTCAGAAGTAATAATTACAGAATTAATTTGTTCTCTTCTCTTTTAGTTCTAAAGAAAATCAAGAAATAACCTTTTTTCCAGCAATTTGAAGCTAAAAATTCCCTATAAAAAACCGAAAAACACAATTAAATAAGCGAAAGAAAAATTGAACCTTGGTTCCACGTTGCCTGACGATGATAGCGCCGGGTTTGGCCACCTGGTCGCCGTAGATTTTGACGCCGAGCCGTTGACCCTTGGAATCGCGGCCGTTTTTAGTGCTACCGGCTCCCTTTTTGTGCGCCGATTCGATGGTGAGAGGGAACGGGGATTTGGTCGGGAAGGAAACGGTTGCCGTTTTGGGAATCGAGCTACCCACTTCGCCTTTCAAAAACGACGAATTGGAGCTTGATGACAAAGAAAGATCCCTAAATGCACCCACCAAACTGAAACTCATTGTTGCCATTTGGAAGAAGATGAAGCACAAAGAGATGGAAAGGTTGGAGGAGGAGGATGACAGGCTTATCGTTAACTGATTTACAAATAAATAAAGCCGCCACCTTCATCATTTGGGCCCAATTAACATTGAGTCCAGGCCAATTGGACTATTTGGGTATTAGCCCATTTGATTTTGCAGATCTTTTCTTTTAGATGCCGGATAAAATTGATAATAAAATTTTCGGTAAACTACATATTTAGTAGGATGACGATTTAACTCGGTGGGTTTTGACTCGAATCGATCTTATAGGGTATTTTTAAAAAAATCGAGTTCAAGTTAGGTCAGGTTGAATTTTTTAAGGGGTGGGGTCGAGTTCGAGTAGAGGGTGAGGACCTCATCTGAGGATAATAATGTGATTTTTTTTTTAAATTATTATTTTTAATTAAGCCCTTATTTATACTCTAAAAATTCGAGTCGGAGTCGGTAGAGGATATATATTTTTCAGGTCGAGTCGGGTTCAGATGGAGTATACATATTTTTGGGTCGGGTTGGATTGAACAAAAACATGACCCGTTGCCATCCCTAATATTTAATCACTCAACTATCACTTTATTTCATTTTTAGTCACTTAACTATTTTTTTCAAAATTATACCTAAAGTTATGCTTTAGTTCTGTTTTGGTCATCCACTATTAAGAACTATAACTTGATAATGATGTGTTACCACAAAATAATATCACATCATCACTGAAAAATGAGAAAATTTGTTACATCAGTAGTTCTGTTTTTTTAAACAAAGGTGACCAAAATTGAATCAAAATGTAAAATTAGATATGATGCAAAAAAATATGAGTGACCAAAATAGAACCAAAGTAATAATTGGATGACTAAATACATAACTTACCCTGAATTTTATAAAAGTTGTGATTATATGGACTGAAAAGGTTTATTTTACTATATTTGATCGGCTAGCATTTAATAGGAGATGTACGTATTTTGACAGTAATTTTATTTTTATTTGTTATTCACTTTTTACTTTCTTATTTATTTGACATGATTAAATTAATAAAATAAGTAAACTATAAAAATAAAATTATCTAAAATAATGATAACTATTGATAAATCTTAAATTGTTCAGGGATTCAAATAACAGCCGGATAATAATATAATGACTGTTATATCAAGATCGCAGTCGCGTTCGAAACAACTATCACGAAAAATAGTAATGTGAAGCGAAATCACACCGATAGCAATGGGTCGTGACCGTAATTTAGCGGATAATGACCAATCGTGACACTAGCGGACCGCTATTCCGCTATTTTAATTTTAAAAAATCAGTTTTTTTCCCAAAAAAAAGGAACTCATTTAGAAAAAATGTGATACCCGCAATAGCATCCGTTATATCCACAATTACGATAAACACAACGTGACCGAAAACGTGATCACATCCGCAATTTAAATCCCCGACATTGTTAAAAATTAAGTGATAATGACATTCTCACCAATATTCCTACACAATTCACAAAATGTTACAGACGGATCGGATAGAATGTTCAAAACAAAATGGTTAAAAAGAGCCTATGCACAAATACAATACCATTGCTTGACCCTCAGTTACCAAAGATGAACATCTCTATCTTTCGTGGAACTGTACTGATTCGACTTTGAAAACGAAACGAACCGTGATCCTGTATTTACTGTCCGCCTAATAGAAAGACTCCTAGGCGGCTGACGGGATGAGTTCGTCCGCCGAGACAGCGGATTCGGTATCATCTTCTGCGTCCATCCACTGTAGTTTGGGTCCCTGAGCATCATTCATATAAGATATAACAAACAGGACAACTCATCAGTCCATTGCCTAATTGTTGAAAACATTGCACAAATACTTCCTTGTTTCATCTTAAGTTTCATTGTTCCACTTATCACAAGGTCTAAAGTTCATAGATGCCATGCAAAAGCTCACGCACATTGCCTTGAAGCACTCATGTAAACATAGAGCATTGCATTACATATATAATTACCTTTCCGAGCCGTACAATTTTCGGAGAAGCCCCGGTCATGTCGACAACAGTAGAAGGATCGGCAACTTTTACACCACTGTCAACGACAAAATCAAGACCCTGAAAAGGAAATGCAGCTCAAATGTGAGGAAAACTTATTCAAAATAATACTAATGCATACGAACACCAACATTTTTCCTCACAGCATATTTTGCAGTTGTAGTGCAATTACCTCACACACTGTTTTGGCAACTCTTTGCTTGCAGTTAAGATGAAATTATACTGTTTTCACAGAAATTTTGTTGCAAGGAAAACATATTAAGAAAAAAAACGTTGTGGAACATATTGCTCAAATAAATATTCCTCTTCATGTCCCTGCAATCTAGAATGCAGACATGCAAGGTGTCATAACGTCTCTCTCGGGATCCGTTAGACTTAAAAAATTTAATTTCGAGGAAGGCGATTGAAAACAATTTGATTTTGGAATCACCACCAACCTTTAAGTTAGGTAGGTTGGAAACCTTAAACCACAAAAAAATGGTTTGCGTTTTACCAAAGATTCATTTTTAAGAGTTCGGGAGTCGATTACGTGTGGGGAAGGGTGAACACTCCCGCAACGCCCAAATTTTGGTACCTAAACGATTATATGTTGTCCAAATATTGGGAATTACGTGTGGGGAATTACACTCGCCTGGGTGGACGGTTCGGATCTCCCTGTTAGCGGTGGCGGCTGTTGAGATGAAATTTTAGGGTTTAAAACTCTAATTTGAATCGGGTTATAAACGGGTCTGGAGCTGGGCCTCGAGTCGGATCCGAGTAGGCCTGGACTTCAGTTGGGTTTGGTTAGCAATTTGGGTCTTGCTTGTACTGGATCAACAACTGGGTTGATGTTGGGCTTCAGGATTGGGCCTTTGTTTGTAATCTGGGCTCCGAGCCTACAAAAATATATGTAATAAATAAATAAAATAATTATTATTATTATTATTATTATAATATTTAAATTTTTTTAGACCCGAACAAAAACGGGTTTCTGCACAAGGTAAATGGATTCTGCATAAGGGAACATACAGCAGATTTTATCAGCTAAAGATTGAGTTTAGGGAAATGTTTGAACCTAAAAAATTAGTACAAAAAAGGAAAATTTTCTACCTGAAACCTACCTACGAAGACGTTCGATGGCTGAATGGGTTTTCAAATGACAAACTATTGCATACCTGGATATGAATATCAAATTCAAATTAAGAAACTTCAAAAGAAGCTGCAAGTAAAAAAACAAAAACATACCTAGAAATACTAAACCGTAACACATTCAAATATAGCAACCAGGGATTTAAACAGTGGTCCGCTACCGCTATATAGCAGTAGCCTGTCATCCGATACCGTTATTGCATGATCGTGATACCCGCAATCACTGCAATAGTGTCGTCTATGTCTGCAATAGGGATAAACACAACGCCATCGAAATCGACTGCAACCGCCATTTAAATCCCCGATAGCAACTGATTCAATCAAAGTTAATGATGTAAATTTGACGTTTTAATAAAACTTTTTTACATCCAAACAGGATTTCCGCCTCCGTAAACAAGAATGAAAAGACAATAATAATCAAAGAGCTCTTACATTGTATCAGTCGGGATAACACCAACTGCTCCTTGGTTTAAAAGTTCAATTACAGGTTCGAGTTTCCAGTTTTCTGTTGCCGACGGATCAACTTCCACGTACACCAAATCATCCACCTGCCAATTTCATTTCCTTTTATTTTTCTTTTGCAGTTAACTTTGCACAGATATTATCAAATCGAGAAGAAATTAGACCTTGGACAATCGAGGAGCAGAGTATTTGAGGCGCTTCGGACTCCTTTTGGCGGCCATAGCTAAGACTCGAAGCTTACCGAGTTTAGGACTATCGAGACTGACACGGCCGGGAGACAACACCATGAATGTGAGGATGCAAACGTTTAATGTAAAATGGTTGAAATTATTTTTTAAATATATATTGTCTTGTATTTATCCTAGTATGTTTAAAACTAAGTATCCAAAAGGTACCCGTAAGTTAGGTACCCATTACATCTGGGTACCCGTAAAATTAGGTATATGTATTTTCGGGTCATCGGATACCTGGTTAATCAGCATTTTGTGATCTAAGCCCGACCCAGAAACCGGTTTGACTCGAAAAATATTTCTCAAAATGCTGATTAATTTTGGGAAATACTTTCCATTTTGTCATCGGATACCCGTAAAACCGATTTGACTCGAAAAATATATATTCTCCATCCGACCTGATCAGACCTAAAAAATATATATCTTCCAGTCAACTCCGACCTGACCCGAATCTTTAGAGTATAAATCTGACCCGACTCTGCGAGATATAAAGTAAGGACTTAATTAAAAAATGATAAATTTTAAAAAAATTACATTATTATTCTCAAGTTGGACCGAGTCGGAGTTTTTTCACTCCCCACCTAAACCTGACTTTACCCTTAAAAAATTTGACATGCTCAAATCCGAGTTAGAAAAATATTTGATCCTATCATATTGGCTCAGATCCAATCCCATTAGATTCGGGTTAAATTACCATCACAGATTATATTTCCCAATGGGCTTGCCAAACTTGCCAAACTTGGGCTTCACACTTCTTCAGTGGATTCCATGAAGAAGATGCCATTAATCAAATACCACAGAAAACAAATTCCCGAAACCAAAAACTACCCCATAAAATGCCTACTATTTTGTTAATCATAAAGCAAAGGTTATCTTCATTGTCGAATTGGGTCCTAACAGCATATCCACGGTGGATGATAGGCCCTCTTCCCTTGGTTAATTGTAGCCTCGTCTTCACCCAGTCGTTTTTTTCCTGGGAAAACTACACTAAAAGACAACACACAGCGTTTCTTTTCTCTAGTTTTTCCCCATTAGCGGGTTAGATTGAAAAATGCCGGGAATAAAGGGACCTTCTGATTATTCACAAGAACCGCCACGCCATCCTTGTCTTCAGATCAACTCCAAGGCAAGTTTTCTTTTTTGTTGTTGTTTAATCACTCGCTTTTCATCTGATTATTGAATTTTCATTTGTTTTTATGTTGATTTTATTGGGTTCGGAATACATCTGATTCATTGTATGTAATGTTCCAGCTTTGATTTCATTTCTAGAAAAAAAAAATGGGTATCCAAATTGCTTATCAAGATGTTTCTTTGCCTATTGAATTGAATTGGGGCATGGTCCAAATCAGAGATGGATAGAGGGGTGCTGGTGTGGTCATAGGGGATTTAAATTGTGGTGGTTGTGTTATTTTTTGTTGGGTTGCATTTATTGCGATTGCGGCAATAGCGGGTGCTATCACGGCTATCGCCGATATCGCGATTGTGAAATAATGATTTCAAACACTATATAACGACCGCTATTTAAATCCCTAGACTAGTCGCACTTTGGAAATTCCAAATTCTTGTGTAGTTTAGATATTTTCTTTGTAATTTCTATCAATCTTCTAATTCCACTCATTGCGCACCCTAAATTTTTAATATAACTTCCTTTGTTTGCATGCGGTGCATAAACTGGTCCAAAATATGCCTGCTTTACTCCAAAAGGATATGCCGTTTTACCCTTTTAAGTTTTCATTTGCAAATACATTAGTTGTAGAATATGTGTTCATTGATTCGAGTTTCAATGTGTAATCCACTTGGTATTGGCATCTTTGATCCAGGAGCCCTTCAACGCCGAGCCGCCACGTTCGGCTTTAGTTTCATCTTATGTGACTCCGGTGGATTTGTTCTACAAGAGAAATCATGGACCAATCCCAGTAGTTGATGACATAGAGAGGTTATAGAATCTGTCCTCTTATTCCATGATAGCTTATATTAGAACAATTTAATGTTGTTTATCTTGACGTTGATCCTTCTGAGTTTCATACATGTTTCGGAATTGCAGATATTGTATCAATATAACTGGCTTAATTGAAACTCCGAAAAAGCTGTATATGAGAGATGTCAGGTGAGTGAGAGCGTTGCCGATTACAATCCAAGAAATAAATGTACATTTTAGAATTTTCTGATGATTAATCTTGCATGAATCCGGTTTATTTTATAGTTTCTTCCCTGATTTTATTCTTCAATATGTTAACTTGGTCGGTTTTTCAACTACTAACAGGATGCTTCCAAAGTTCAACGTGACCGCCATTTTACAGGTAAGTTTCGTCAATGTATTTTCTGCTGATTTATATGGCACTGCAATTATTGCATTTGTTCACTGATCTGGCTTTGATGTCTTATTCAGTGTGCAGGTAATAGGAGGACTGCCATGAGCAAAACCCGAAAAGTGAGAGGAGTTGGCTGGGATGTTTCTGCCATAGGGAATGGTTTGTTTTGTTTATATCTGACTTGCAATTAGTTTTCCGAACTAATATTTCTCGTGTGTTCATGTACGCTCTTCACGTCAATGTGCAGAATCATGAATGAATTAGAGTCTGCTTATTTCCTTGGGATTTCTATTGATTTCCCCCCTTAATCTATGTTTATGTTCATGATGTTCTGTAAATTTAGTATGCATAACCACATCTCAACTTGTTAGATGTGATGTTATATTCGACTTTATATCATATTTCTGACCTTTCAGCTGTCTGGGGTGGTGCCAAACTGGCTGATGTACTTGAGCTCGTTGGGATACCAAAGTTGACAAGTAGCACCCGGTCCGGTGGAAAGCACGTCGAATTTGTGAGCATTGATAAGTGTAAGGTAGTAAGTTCGCCTATTGAATTTCATTGTCGAATTTTCCGCTGTTAGATGACTTTTTCCCCCTTTCAATAGGAGAACATAACTTCATGTTTTACCTTTTGTGTTTTAAATAAATGTAGGAGGAGAATGGAGGTCCATACAAGGCATCGATTCCACTTAGTCAAGCCACTAACCCCGAAGCCGATGTTTTACTTGCTTACGAGATGAATGGAGAGGTAAGAAAAACTTGCTTTTTACGGTATACTTTTGCCTGGACTTCATGATCATCGACATTTCGATGCGTTGAGTTGATGAAAAATTGTTTCGTTTTTCATGCTAAAGCCTCTCAACAGGGATCACGGTTATCCATTGAGAGTAATTGTGCCCGGTGTTATAGGTGCACGTTCCGTCAAGTGGCTCGATTCTATCAACATAATAGCAGAAGAATGCCAGGTTGAAGGGATGTTTTATCTTTATGTTAAATCCATTTATCATTTTCCTCATTGTTATCTGATTGAGTTTCATTTACTACTTCACAGGGCTTCTTCATGCAAAAGGATTACAAGATGTTTCCACCATCCGTCGATTGGGATAACATCGACTGGTCTACCAGGCGGCCACAAATGGATTTCCCGGTTCAGGTTTTACTAGATTTCGATTAAATTAGTCTAGTCCTATATGTAAATTGCATGAGAATTGCTTGAAGGAAGTGTACTTAAATTGTTTAGCCTAAGTTTTCTTGAAAGCTGTATAACAATGTATTCTAACAAGCCCTTGACCTTAAACTTATACCTAAATAAGTCCCTGACCTTTAATTTGTACCTCAATAAATAAATCCTTAACATAAATCAACCTTACACTTACAAATAAGGGCTTTCTCATGTAAAAATATAAGGATAAGGGCCTATCTAGGCTCTAGCTGTAAAAAAATATAGGTGCTTATATAAGTAAACCAGTACAGTTTAGGGTATTCTTTTTGATATTGTAGCTAGAAATTTTCTTTTACAAACTGAATTTGCTCGAATGTCCTGACTAATATTAGTTTCTTTGCTGGTCGACAGTCTGTGATTTGTTCTTTAGAAGACGTGCAGTCGATTAAACCCGGAAAGGTTTGTTCTCCATGCAATCATCAGTTTATATAGGTGCAAGTGTATGTAAACATGATTATAGTCCTGCCATTATGGGATTTACTAACCTTTATTCAGTCATGTTTCACTTGGATTGCTCGAGTTTAGAATTATTCCCACTTTTACAAAGGTTATTTCTTGTTTATACTCGAGATAATTGTCCGACTCGAATACACCATCAGTAGGGTTTTTTAATTCTGCAAGTGGATTTATTAAACGTGAACCGTGGTTCCCCTGCGATTCGAATGCTACTCAAAGTTACTTGTACTGTATGCTGTGATTGCTGTCAAATGTTATGCAGATAACAATTAGTGGATATGCAGCGTCTGGTGGGGGGCGAGGAATCGAGAGAGTAGATGTGTCTATTGATGGTGGCAAAACCTGGATAGAAGCCTCAAGATTTCAGAAAACCGGAATCCCTTATATATTAGATCACGAAAGCAGTGACAAATGGGCATGGGTGCTTTTCAAGATCACAGTTGATATCCCACGCAGTACTCAGATCGTCGCCAAAGCGGTACGTTGTTGTTTCATTTTTACCATGTTAGAATGCAGAGTGCACCAACGAATATTCGATCATCGGTTATATTTTCTACTCATGGTCCTTGCAAACGTGTGTGATCGAAAGTTGCCGATATCTCTGGATGTCATTCCAAGAGAAACTTATGCAACATAATCACTGCCCTTATCTAATACAAGAATCTCTAGTCTCTGAAGTTCCATCATATGTTCATGGAACTTGTTTGATATAAGAACCCTGGGAACTTACTTAGGGTGCGACATAGTCCTGTTTGGTTCCACCTATCGACTGCCTATCCATTGTATCACTAGCTGTTTTACAGTCGCAAATCATTTCTTTTTGTCGCTTCGCAGGTGGATTCTGGTGCAAATGTCCAACCCGAAAACGTGCAGGATATTTGGAACCTAAGAGGTATTCTGAACACTTCATGGCACCGAGTTGAAGTTCGCGTAGGCCACTCGAATATGTAATGAACTTGACTAGCATGCCGAAATACCCTGCTTACTCTGTTTTCTCCATGGTTCTGTGAGATTGTAATACCACTTGCTTTAATAATGCTGCTTTGATGGATTCATCTTACGTAATATTGGAATGTGATTTCACATTGTGGGTTAGATGTGACCATCATTGCCCCCTGAGATTTCTAATGTGTTTTAGCTTAAATATGCATACATTGAACATTATTTTGATAAAAAAAAAATGCATTAATTATAGCATAAACTATAAAATTAATTAAAATATATTTCTTTAAAAAATTATAAAATAAAATAAAAGAATAATGAAAATGCTAAAAAGGTAATAGTGAAAACATACATATCTGGGTATTAATTTAGAATCTGGTTGAAATTATAAGGACTTGAGTTCAATATGATGTACGGTGGATCGACGTTGTTCGGATCCTTCTCAGCTTGTTTTACCTCTCAACAAGGCTTTCGACACGGCGTCGAAGATATCAGCCAAGCGTGATGCTGCTCCTTTGTTCTTGGTTTGGAGGGTTAAGAAATGAGTCGGGATCGGATCGGAGAAACAGCTCAAGGATGCAGTGGAGGAAGTCGTGGGAATCATTCATGACAAGAAGAGAGACTGAAGGAAACAGAGAGAATCTCGGTGAAAAAGATCTCTTAACGAGGCTGATAATTGCTGCAAAAACTGCGCTTTGTTGTGCACATTGCCCGTCAGGATCTCATCCTCATACTCTACCTCATAATAGCTCATCAATAAGCTCATTCTCTCCTCATACATTTCTTTATGAGTCCTTGCAACTGATAGGAACAACTCAAAACCATTCACTTCAAGCTCATGATCGTAAGTTGCTTCGGCCATCTCCTTTGTCCAGAAAAACTTTGACCTTGCTTGCCCGGTTGAGTTGATCGTAGCGCTGTACAGTTTTCCTAGTACACCAGAGGAAGTATACACGGGTTTGTTTTCCCTCAGCATGAAGTCCGGAAACTCCCTTGGTTTAAGAGCACGAGGCATCTTGGCAGGTGCTCCTGTCTTGGCAAAATCAACAACCATGGAGTGAAGAGTAGCCAATGCTAGACAGCTTTCACTACGGGCTTTGTCAGGTTCTCGATCAGCATGCACTAAATGTGCAGTAGAAATTGCACCCAAAGTATCATTGATCATGTAATCAACGAAAAACTTTTGAATTTCCTGCAAATTTTAGAAAAGGATGAAGATGAAAATAAAATGCAATCTCTTCTAGCTTCATCGCATCAGAAATTCAGGTCAGGTTCAAATTACCTTTAAGGTTACCTCATGGTCCATCATTCGAGGTCTTTGTCCCGTGTAGTCCATTGGGGGATCGGTTTGACATGGGATGAGGTCTTTGTCCCAGCTTATGAAAAACTGATCCCCATCAAGATCACCGCCTGAGCATTCATTTGGATGCGGCCTGCAAGATTAAGCTGTAGGTGTTAACCACAACAATCTATTTAAGATCCGATATCAAATAACAGCAAAAGCCTTTTATCGCCAACAGCAAAAGCCTTTTATCGTCCCTTTGGAACAAATATACAGCACCTTCTTTTTAAATCAGAAAGTAGACTCTCATAGCGTGCTTGAAGCATCACTGAGATGTAAGGTTGGACATCTTCCAAAAGGAGTTGCGGTCAACAGCAACGACACCTTTGTAACCACCATATCTTATTTGAAATGCCGATGGAATGTGATCCAATCCACACTTCTCAACAACTTGTCTGGCAAAAGACAGAAATTTTCCCGATGCCATCGGAGAAGCAATAATCAATGCCGTCGGTGTTAACTTCAATATCATCAATAATCTCCACATCCTGCTCAGGGACAACAAGTGTTGGCTTAGATGAACTAAACAATTGGTCCATCCTTGAAGCACACAGATATGTTGCGTATCTTTTTGAAGCATCCCATCCATTCACAAATACCTAGCTGCACGCCAGTAGAAATGGCATTTGCTGAAAGCTTACTCCAATCTGAAGCATAATCTGCGAAGTTCTTTACAACATAATTAGCCGCTTCGAGTTCATGACCCAAGCAATAAATCTTTGTAGGTGTAACTAGGCTCTATGACAAAGTACTCTGTTCAAAATTTAATGTTAAATTTTGAAAAAAAAATTGAAACTTTAGGTATTAAAATGGGTCAAAATTAATAATTTAGGTATTAAGTGCATTAAATTTTTTAACGGTTTGATACTAAAACGAAACAAAATCTAAATTTTAAGTATGATTTTGAAAAAAATAAAAATTTAAGTACTTAATCAATGGTGATGAATAAATTATCTTGTCAATTGCGACTATATTAAATTTAACATTAAAACAAATAATAAACGAAAATAACAATCTAACAATGACTAAAAGTTGAGGAAATAAAATAATACACGTCCCACATCGATACAAAAGATGAAAGAAACACACACGTACCAAAGCATATAATAAAAACAAAGGAGCAAGTAAAAGGCAGAAGATTTGGCGATCATTTAGTCGGACACGCCACAAATTAAATTATTTGACCAAAAAGCCGGCGTCCACCACCATGTCATGGCCGCTGACCACCTCCGAATCGCCGGAGGCCAGAAACAACACTGCATCAGCCACGTGCTTCTCTTTCACCACCACCCCTTTCAACTTTGTCAGCCCTTCGAAAATCTTCTCAGTTTCCTCCGCTTCCCTTCCCATGAGTTCACACATTAACGGCGTCGCCACCACGAACGGCGATATGCTGTTCACCCTTATCCCATAGGGCCCCAGCTGCTTGCTCGCCGACCTTACTAATCCCAACACCGAATGCTTCGACATAAAGTAATCAACATCCTGGTCGCCGCCGCTACTGGCGCAGACACTCGCCGTGCAGATGATGCTTCCTCTTACTTTCTTCTCGACCATGGCACGGGCCGCGTGTTTAACGCACGCTGCCATGCCACGGACGTTGACGGCGAAGAGCCGATCGAAGGCTACGAAGTCGATATCGAGGATGTTCTGGTCGGAGTTGGTGGTGGCCTTGGTGGCACGGATCATCCCGGCGTTGCTGAACATGATGTCGAGTCGGCCGTGATTCTGGACGGTCCATTCGACCATGGCTTTCACTTGCTCTTCATCGGCAACATCACAGTGAATGTAGCTGCAGTTTTTGAAACCGATTGAGGCGGCTACCTGCTGGCCGAGTTCGTCTTGGATGTCGGCGATCACGACGTGAGCGCCGTGATCGGCGAAAAGGGAGGCGGTAGCTTTGCCGATGCCGCTTGCTCCGCCAGTGATGATGGCCACTTTGTCTTCTAGCTTGTGGATCGACATTGTGAGAAAGCTGACCTTTGGTGTGCTCAAACGATTTGGCAAAGATACGGGGATAATTTAGAAGAGGGGTTATAAAGAAATTTATAATAGTAGTCACGTCGTCCGATATTAGTCTTGCATGATCTCGATTCTTACTATGATCGTAATAACATCCGTTATATTTAACTAAAAATGTAATTTCAACTTTTATTTAAATTTATAAGATTTTAATATGGATGACAACCGGTTGGGTTAAGGTCGGGTTTTTAGTCAATTCAATTTAAAAATATATATCTTCGACTAGATCAGATCCAATAAAAAAATAAAGATTTAATTAAATAATAATAATTTTTAAAGAAAATTACATTATTATCCTCAGATCGGGTCGAGTCAGAGTTTTTTCACCTCCACCGGAACCCGATCCAACCCGACCTCGCTCTTAAAAAATCCGACCTAACCCAACTCAAACCAATTTTTTTTTTAAAAAAAATGATCATATCGGATCGAAACACATCAGATTCGGGTTAAATTGTATTTCCTAAAGACATGAGTTATGCCTTATTTTTGGGTAAAATAGACAAATAGTCATCATATTATAGAATAATTTTTTTATTGCTTAATGAATAATTAGAATTGAAAGGACGGTAGGGAGAAGGTGATAAAGATGGAAAAGTGGAAAGATTCTTTTTAGTTGTTTAAATTAATTATATTTTATTAAAGTTCGTAATTTAATAAAAGATGGATTAAATTGATAAAATATTAATAATTATTTTTTTAGAATTAGGATTACATTAAAAATAATATAAAAATCGAGGGTTAAATTAATATTGTTATTTCAATTTTATTAACTATCACATAATTTATTATTTTTCTAGAAAAATAATTATTATTTTTAAATTAATTTATAATTTTCATAATCAATAAATTTAGTAAAAAATTATAATTAAAAATTATTTAAGCATCTTATCTTTTTATTTTTTTTAAATTAAAAGATACGTATTAATATCATTCTTATGAAATAATTCCTTCAATTATTTGGAGTGTGGTTTATGATATCCATTTTTTATTAACTTTATGATATCCCTTCAACTAATCCAATATGATAATGTTAATATATTAAATATTAAATATTAAATTGAGAAAAAAACAAAGGAGATTAATTAAATTAAATTAAATTAAATTAAATGATACGCTTTGGTGTACTTTACATTTTTTATTGTTAGATTAATTAAATTTAATCATTAAGATTAAAATTTAAATTGAATATATTTCATATTTTTATATAAATCTTTAAATTTTATACTGATAATCACATTCGTCTATTTTTACACATGCAATAATTATATAAATATAATGCTTAAAAATTAGGGGTGTTCAAAAAAAACTCGAAACCGTTAACTGGTATAACCGTTATATTTAACAGGTTAATTAACTGAACCGCTAATACTAAACGGTTTCGGTTAACCGAACCGCTAAAAATGATGGTTAACAGCTAATGTTATGGTTATAAATTTTGATAAACGATATTTGTTAATCGTTAATAAATTAAATTTATACTTATATTTCTAATTTATTATATTTTTACACAAGTAACTTGATATAAGTTTTTATTATTTATAATTTATATATATATATATATTATATATTAAATATTTTTTTCAGAAAAATTAACCGAACAAAACTAAATTTGGTTAATTGGTCGGTTAGCTCAATTAACCGAAAATTATAAATAATATATATTATATATTAAATATTTTTAGTTTATTAGATTAATTCGATCAGTTAAATCGGTTAAAACTGAAGTTTAAACATCTCTAAAGCTAAATAATATATATATAATGTATTAAATATTTAATAATTTTACTTAATTCGGTTAATTAAATGATTTCGAATCAAATTAACCGATAACTAAAATTTGAAGAAAAAAATCATTAATCATTAACCGATCGATTGAAAGACTGAAATTTTAATTTTATCGATCAAATTGATTTTAACTTAATTATGAACATCGCTACGAAATAGCCCTATTATTTGAGACCCAAATGACAAAAGGCCCAACAAAACATTTTGGATCAACCAATTTAACCTTTCTTGTACTGTAAAACCGGAAAAGAAAAAGGTATGGTTATCAAAATCGGATCGGCTGGTTCGACCGGTTAAATCGGGAATCAGTTGTCTGTCCAGTCCGGTCACCTTATAAAATCAGTTTTGTAACGAACCGGTCAAGAACCGGCAAAAGCTTGGAATGGGCACATGATGATGATGATGGGACTTGATTAAAACTAATGACAAACAATTTACTATTAGTAATGTGATATGTACTTTAACATTATTTGGATATGCAAAGCTTCTTGTACTCGATTCAATTATTAATTATATAATATATGATAATAATAATAATAATATCATATCATATGCCAACGATAATTTCTACGCAAATCATCGAAAATGACACAATTCCAAGGCTTTTCTATTATCTGTGTGCTTACTCTTATATATTATGATTAAAAGGCATGGGCAAGTCATGGGTAAGGCATGAGCAAGGGATGTGTTTGATTAAAAAATGGTGCTCCTATAACTAGGGGTGTGCAAATCCGGGTACCCGGATTTTTGGGTACCCGGAACTTTCGGGTCGACGATTTCTCGGCCTGTATCCCTATCTGGATGTTACGGGTACCCGGTAATCGGGTACCCGGATTTTGCGGGTACCCGATATCCGATTTTTAATTTTTTATTTTCAAATTATTAATTTAAAAAAATATATACACAAATTTAAATATTTGAAACTTCGAATTACATACTCTAATATCCGAACATAAAATTTAAAAGTTCAAAATACAAAATATAATAATTCATAATATAAATAATTCATTATATTTTATATAATTATATATAAAAAAATAAAAAAATAATAAAACTAACCGGGTACTCGGGTAACCCGGTACCCGAAAAAACTAGATTTTGTGACCCGGGCCCGACCTGGGAAATGTCGGGCCGGGTACCCGACCCGACCAGGTAATTTTTTTTTAGAGAATTATACGAATAGTTAAAAAAAATCATCCTAGTGTTGTGTTGATTTACATCCCTATTCATGCCTTTGTACATTTCAAGCCGATTTACGCATTACCATTATTCAAGCTCATAAAACTGAGGCAATGTCTTAGGACAATGATCGTCGACCACTTACACGACGGTAGGACCTGTCCCGGCGCCTAGTCCAACAAGAGAAATTACACGACACATCTAACCGGAGCTCTCCACGATACCGATGACCGGTTCGAGCTAACATTATTCGAAGACAGTTGTAAGAAGTTTCTCCAGTCATCAAGAACAAGCTTCATATCATGGATCTTGCTATCAATGTTGTCACGACAGTTTGCTTGTACCGTAAGTATCTGATTCAAACCACACGGCAGACAAAGCCTACAGAAACTCTCCTCACCGAAATACGAAACGTCAACTCCGATGAGGCCGACGTACTCTTCTTTTTCGGAAATTTTGCAGAGGGATTGATGTTCGGAATCGGGGTAGAGAACCCTGTTCATGTTACATATTCTGATGAATTCAATAGTCCTTGCGTTTGCCTTGAGATGAAAGAATCCGCCATCTCCTTTGATCCCGAATGTTTTAGCATCGATCGGATAGAGCTCGCATCTGATCGATAAATCGGAATTGGGTTCGAGTTTACTTAACGGATTCCTCAGCCACATAACATCTGCATTCTGCAACCATTAACCACAGTTAAGCAAGCCTGCATTGAAGCTATCATGGTCTCGAATCGTCTAAACTTACGGTGAAGACGACATTGTAACCGAATTCGATAACTCGGTTTAGCAGCATCAATCTCGTTGGACTAAACATGAGGCTCCCTTGCGTTCCCGGTGTCATCTCGGTGAGTTTCTTCGTCGAGTTTTCCAGTTCGAAACAATGGGGATGCTTGGACTTGCAGTACTCGAACGCTCGGCTATCTTCGGCGACAACGAGCAGATGGTTCAATAGATGTTCCGTTCCTTCTCCGACTCGGAAGCTTTCGAGGAAGACGTCGAGGATCGATGCCGGTTTCGCCCAAGTTCCGTTAACGACCATCAGAATGACTGTTCTATCGGGCATCGATGCTTTCATCAGTGCTGCTCGCAGCAGAGTTTTCTTTTCCAAATCCTAATGAAAAAACGCCAAAAAAAATAAAAAAACAGAAATTTCATACATGTTAGAAGGATATTTCTTACATGTTTGGAGACGACAAGAGATTGGGTGTTTGGATCATCGGAAAATCGATGGAAAATGAAGCAGATGAAGATGAAGAACGTCAAAGAGACAATGAGACGACAACTTGGCGGCCTCGAAATGTTCATAATAAATTTATTGATAATTTTGGTAGGTTTTGTAATTTCTATAGTTGACCAAGATAGGAATGGTAATAATTAAACTGTTAAAATCGGACAGTCAAAAAATCCCAATCTTTCAAAATATATAGTTAAGGGTAAACTATTCCAATGGTGACTTTCATTTTATATATATTCATTTTTGTTCTCCTAGTTTTAAAAATAACATTCTGGTCACTCATGTAGTCACTTAGACTTAGATATTGAATATTGTTAATTTGATTACGTGACACATCGATAAAATTGATTAACTTTTAATTTGTCCTCTAAACTCTGAATAGAACATCAATTTGACCCTTAGATTTTATATAAAATATAAATTTTAGATTTAAGAGTAAAGTACACAAATAGTCCATTAACTAGAATATATTGCTTTATTAACTCCCCTGACCAAAGTTATAAACTGGTCCTATGACTATAGGGAGTTACTTTGTTAAGTCATTTGACTTAAAAATTACAAAATGACCACTCAACTATTTTTTATATTTCAAACTTGTCCATTTTCATTAAAATTTTGACGACAATCTGAGTTGAACATTAACATATTAACTGGGATATGATAATCGTTTGAGATTATGAAATCAGATTTTATCATATCTAAGTCAACACGTTAATGTACAACTCAGACTACCGTTAAATTTTTAATGGTAAACGACGAGTTTGGAACAAAATGAATATTCGATGACCATTTTGTAACTTTTAATAGTCAAATGACTCAACAAAATAACTTTCTATAGTCAGAGGACCATTTTATAACTTTTAATAGTCAATGACTTAATAAAACAACATCCTATAGTCAAGGGACTATTTATGTACTTTACCATTAAATTTAATGAATAAAATTGAATACTTATGAAACAAAAATGACCATTGCAAGAGTTTATCCTGATAGTCATTGAATCGGCTCTTTTTGGACATTTACTCTATGGATTCCACTGGTAAATAGATGAAAATAAATAAATTTGTCTAAAATCAACCCCCATGAAATTGGTATTCATAACACTTCAATCCTCAAGTTCACGAATTGAGCATTTAAAGGCAAAAGAAAGTTCACTTTGATATAACACTCATCTCCGGACTACTGTCCCGACGGTCCTACACTGTATCTTCTATATGTATTTCGGAATGTTACAAATTCAACAACCGGTCCATACGATACCTGGTTAATCGGAACATGCCGACAACGGCGGATCAGTCATCGGTGCCAAAGTAACGATCTCCGAACTCACCCATCCCCGGTACTACACGGAACTCCTCATTCAGTGCAACATCGATCTCTGAAGTGACGATTTTCAAGGACGGGAACCGTTTGCAGACACAATGGATTCCTTCAGGTGCCTTAAGAAAAAGGAAAATCGAGGATCACGATCAATGCGTAGGAAGAGTTCCAACATAGTACATGCATCCAAAGTCTGCAGCCAACAATGGTGAAAACTTACAGAGATGAGATTCAGGAATATGATGTGAGATTCCGGAACTCCTTTCCGTAACAGTAGTTCAATGGCATGGCTAGCAGAATTCCCTACAAGAAGAGTCAACACGATGGTTTCGCAAAGTAGGCTCGTTATGCATTTCCGTGCAATATTCTTAAACTTGATAGTCTAATTTGTGATTTCTCGGGACTAATTCGTTAACTGAAGAAGGAAAAGGACGCGGAAAAGTTTCGAGACAACTTTCTTTCGAACATAGCTGCTAGAAGAGGAACAAACTTACCAGTACCAAGCACCGGATCCAGGAGGAGGACATGTCGTTCAGAAATATCCTTGGGAAGCTTCTCATATATAAGCTAAAAGTTTTCAAGATAGCATACTATTGGTTAGATTTATTTTATATGAAGTACATAACAGCATAAAGATCCAAATAACAATTTTAACCTGTTTCCCGTCGTCTCCGTCACGATGAATCAGAATTTTTCCAATTTTTATTCCTTTGCAACATGCACGTAAAGCGTTTTCCATGCTTTCACCACTGTAATAAAATAATGTAAAAAGAAACTTGTTAGTAAATACAGGAAAAAACAACTGAGCATTCATCATAATTTTACCAGATGTAGCTTTAGATCGCCTAATACCCCGTATTTTGACCAGTTCGAAGCCTGGTTGAAAGCTCACCTTCTAATAATGGAAACACCGCACAGTTTTTTGCAAAAATCAACCCCGGGATAAACAGATGCTGAAAAGAAATAGCAGCAAGTTTCAAACATAAGCAGAATATTAGCTGTTTTCAATGATAAATCTTAAACTGAAGAAAAATTCATCATTTTCCTTTTGGACATCTTCAATTGCAGATGCTCAGAAAGGACAACTGGGAGTTTTCCCACCTGTAGGTGTTATTACTTGCTTCTCGGTGAAAGGCAAATGTCCGAGACCATGCTCCACCACCTAAATCAAATGCAACAAAATCAGGAATATTTTGCATTTGGAAAACACTTACAGCAAAACAAAACACGGTTCATTCACAAGATATAAAAGAAGGTACCAGACGAATAAGCCGATCTGAATAGAAGACAAAATCATGCTTAGAAATTTCCCGGTCTCTAATCAGAGTATGCATTCCTCTAATCTGCACCATGAGTCCAAATTAAGAAATAAGTAGGGAAAAAGAAAGGTCAATGCACACTAGATTCAAAAATGTTGGGAATAACTTTAAAGTAGTAGCGTTATTTTCACCAATCATGAAGCTCTAACTACAATAAGTGTGACAGCTTTCTAACTACAGGTGGGAAATGTTGGCTAGTTTCAATGTTTTGTTTAGGTTGTTTTTTAATGTTTCGGGTTGGATATTGTAAGGGGGTGTTTATGGTTGTTTTTAATCATTATGTATCTTTCGGTTATTAATGAATTTTGAGGCACTCTTTTCCTCCTTCCGCTGATTAAGGAGCACCTCTTGGCGCTCCGTTAATCATGAAGGTGGTTTTTAACGAGGCCTCCTCTTCTTATAAAAAAAACTGCAAACTGATAGTCTACCAGAACGTTTTAGGGTACATGGCACGAGAAAGAGCTACACATGAATATATCTTACCAGATATACGTGTTACTCTACATGATCAAACAACGTGTAAAAGAAATAGGATAGAGATAAAGAATGAGATGTACCTGAAAGGTTGACTGAATTACATACACATTGGGATAAATCTTGCAGAGATCATGCTCCCCAAGCTTAGTGCGGATATGTTGCACAATCAAATCAATTGCAACATGATTATCACCTCCTCGGGGGATGATGACATCAGCATACTTCTTTGATGGGAGAACAAAATCATCAAATGCAGGCTTGACAAACTTCGCATACTGCATAAACAACAGCATATTGCAATGCCATCATTAAAATGTTGAAATATTTAAATGAGAGGAACATTAATAAAAAATCTCTCTCCATAAGCGTTTTAATGGACGCGTGAGAATGAGAACATATTCTTCCAGATATTCATTTCAGTGTTTTTGAATAAAACCGATATGGTATACATAGTATTAAATTACAAGCTGCATATCAAGGGAAGTATTAAATTACACCCCAGAGATTTAAGCTTTTTCAGGAATAATTTCAAGTATTAAATTACGAAGAAGATATGGTATACATAGTATTAAATTACGAAGAAGTTATGGTATACATAGGCTTACTTGTTCAAGAACAGAGTTTACATCCCTACCCCTCTCAACTGTATCTCGTCTTATTCTACGAGCAAGCCTCACATCAGCATCTATAACAAATTGTCAAATAAAACCGAGAACTGTAAGAACCCATGAGAGCACGTAAAGAAGAAACATGGTCATAGGAAAAGGCAACAGAGCATTGCACAAGCAATGAAACACAAATGCGAACACATCCAACTAGGTGAGGCCATTGTGTTCTTAAGTAATTTGTGGGTGACAATCCTGGGGATTTAAGAACTCAATTTTCAAATTTCCTTGAATTGATTGGGTAGACTTTTGAGAGGAAAAAAAAAACAATAGCTAAACTTTCCTCTCCTATTGGCTGGCAGGTCAATAGCTATATACAATTTAATAGAGTTTGCGGTCAACAATTAATCAAATAATACACAAGTTGACTTAGAGCTTAGTTTTGTCCATGAGTTTCCATTTCAGTTTGATAGATAATTTAATCTATCAGTTCTTACAGTTAGCAGTTTTTCTTTTTTGAGTGGTTGGCAACGGCTATAGGTTGTTTAACCTCATGAGTTATCCATGATAAAACGTCTTATGTAAATAAAACGAATCTAGCATCTTCACTAAATAATACAAACAGACATATCTATAATGGTAAGGTATTCGGTAGAAGAGGTCAAACCCGCATCAACGAAAATCTTCATATTCATAAGGTTCCTGACACGCTGGTCATGGAAAACAAGAATTCCTTCCAAAATTATGACATCGGAAGCATTAACCTGGAAATAGATTAAACCAAGTTACAGATAGGATAAGTAGCCAACTTATTGAATTATCACCAACATATTTGGATATTCTGAAATCTGAAATGCAAATAAGAGCTTGATAACTAAAGGAGAAACAACAATAAAATGCACGAACAAGCAACCACTACAGCTAAAATAGAAAAGAAAAAAAAAACACCCGAAACGACTATTACAAGTTCTTTAACTGAATGCAAGTATCTGTCTCCAGCATCGTTAAAAAAAAAGTTCAACAACGAACCAATGAACTTACGAACTACCTGTCGGAAACTATCTGAAGATCGATGATGTTGCTTAAAATCATAAATCGGGACCTGAACATTTTGCCCACTTTTAAGCTTCTGAACACAAACCAGGAGCTGCTCAGTATCAAAAGCATCTACAAGCAAAGAAACAAATGCACAGTCAAAACAATAACATATTAACATCCAAATTCAATATAGCAGAAGACAGCAAAATCAGCAAACAACATCAAATTAATTTACCAGGATGATCAAAATTATACTCGTGGACGCGTTTCAACTCTTCAGTAGTTAAACCACGATAAAAGGAATCCTACATC